CTGTCCCCGCAGTGTTTGGTGCTGGTGTACAGAGGACCGCCATGAGTGAGAGCCAACTCGACAGCCCCTCACCATGATGACAACAACAATAACAACAACAACAACAATGACACGACGAAGGGATTTACATGAATGATCGCCTGTCCATTCATGTAAATCCCTTCCTGGGATTCCACGTTCATAGGAACGCCCGAGTATGTCCACGAGAGGCAGGTGCTTATGTCTTTTCTTTCCAATGGCCAAAAAAGAAAATAAATAAATAAAGGGAAGTAAATGAGTGAGAGTGCAGATTGCTCAGACAGTCTGTTAGCAATACATCCATATTGATCGACTGCACACTTAAAAGCCACCCAGATTTTATGGAAGACAAGTGCTTGTTAGCTTTTTTGTTTAGCATCTCTGAAAAGTTGAGGCACTGTAATGATTTGGCTAATTAAAGTCATTGCTCTTCGGCAGGGAAGATTCACTGATAGATGCATATGTCTATCTATCTATCATCTAGTTGATAGGTCTCTTTACCTGTATAATCACATTACTGAGGTATAATTTACATACAAGAAAAAGCACAGCGCAGCGTCCTCTTAAAGACAAAAATGTGAAAATCCACCTTGTTCCTCTCATAGCTAGTTATCAGAATAGGGGTCTCCTGCATTCTAGCACCAGACTCTGTTTTGACAGAAACTCATTCAATATTGAAAGAAGTCAAAGGTAGAACAATATTAAGAGAAGTGTATAATGCTAAAACAGTTTCACATTGATAGATGATAGTACAAGGTATAGTTATTTTAAAATTCATTCATAGTAATTAGGGAAATGTCCTCCACACTGAAAAACAGAGCTATAGTTGAAAATGTATTATCAACCAGAATTTTTCAGATAGTATCAAGATATATATATTTTAATAATTTTATTAGGGGCTCAAAAACTCTTATCACAATCTATACATACATCAAGTGTGTAAAGCACATTTGTACATTCATTGCCCTCATCATTCTCAAAACATTTGCTCTCCACTTAAGCCCCTGGCATCAGCTC